CGGTAGACGATCTCCCTAGCCGCAGTGCAGTTCTCGACCTTGATCTGGTACTGCGAGGTCTTCATCAGCTCAACCTCGGGAACCTTTGCGGAGCCGCGGGACGAGATGGGCACGACGTTGTAGATACCATCGTCTTCGGTGATACCACACTCATCCGCGGAGGCAGACGCCGTAAAGGCCGACGAGATCTTGTAGATGATGTCGTGTTTGGCGCCGTGACTGCCAGTGTACATGATCCGAAGCGGCTCCTTGGTGGCCAAGAAATCGGATGCCATGGTTTGGCGAACTGCCGCAATGAGACGCTTGCTCTTGTCCGGGAAGCTGAGGGCCTTAGCGATAGAGCCTGACTTCTCTTCGGCAAAACTGTGAATGGTATGCTTGACTGCCACGTGCTTGAGCTGGAGCGGGCCTTGCGTTTCGTCAAACTCGATCGACTGGACCAGCGGGGTGGGCTGGTTAGAGGTATCGATGAATCTCTCGACGCCGAGCGGGGGCGTAGCAACACGAGAGGACGGGTTGAGGAGGCTCTGCTCGGCGTATTGGATAGATGACGCTCGAGACCTGTCCTCGGCAGCATTCTCATCATCCCCCGAGTCCGAGTCGGTATCGGACTGGTTGGCCATGTCTTCTGTATGCTCGGTGCCAGCAAGGCTGTGGACGTCATCGATTCGAGTGTAGTCTAAGGAGCTCGTAGACTCGGCCTCGGTGGCTCGACCATCCTGGCTCTCGTCATCTGTATTGATGAGCTCGTAGGTGGACTCGCCCAACGCAGAGTCATCTTCGGGCGTCTCTGTAGGATTCATGATGTCGGGTTCGCTGGAGGAGATCCAGCTAGCAAGTTGACGGTTGCCTTGCGGGCGGGGAAATCTTAAAGTCAGCTCCGAGGACGACAGGGTCGTGGAGCTGGAGGGATCTGCGGTTGATTCGACGTCTCGAGTGGGATCGCCGCTATACTGCTCTTCCATACCGAGATAACAAGGGTTAGCCTTTGGTGTTATCCCGTCATGCCTCGAAGAACCAGGAAGCTGGAAGAAACGAAAGGGGATCGAGTGTCGGCGGCGGTGCGTTGTAGAAGTGGTGGAAGAAGGTGGTGGTGGTGAATGGAGGGGTAAAGCGGGATATGGAACAAGTCACAAGCTGACAGCAGACGTGGGTGGGGGAAGACGTTGAAAGGGCCGCGTTTCCTCGAGACAAACGACCTGTGTCGGAAAAGTTGAATATCTCCAACTATTGGAAAAGGCGAGAGGACGGAGTGCAGAGAAGGGGAATGGGAAGAGATCAACTAACTCTGGTTGAGCCTTTGGGAAGGTGTGACCTGGAGGATTGAAGAAGATGAGGTACGTGGGTTGGTGACGGGACGTCGTCAAAGGCTATTTGCCTGCGGTCGGCGGTTCGGTGGCAGGTGCTGCCTGTGCCTGCCTGCCTTGCCTTGCTTGCCCACTTCACTGAGAGACTGAAGAGGAACGTGCTGTGTGGTGCTGGGCTGGTGCCGTTGCTGATGAGCTTGCTGCCTTACGGGAACCAGAGGCGTGGGGCGGGGAAATGTTCAAGGGAAGGGGAAGGGATAGGACGAGATGGGATGAGATGGCGGTCGGTTTATCGGAGGTGAAGTGAGGTGACTGCGACTTTGGGATGTCACGCGGGTGCCGCTATCAGGAAGTCGCGGCAGAGATAAGAAGCAAGGTACACTATACTAACTTGTTGGCGTTGCTCACACGTTCGGGTCCCGGCCGTCCAAGCGCGCTGTGTTGGGCCAGGGTCCCGTTGCTCAAGGGCGTAGGTTCGCTTTTCGTAAAGGAGAACCCCCAGTCGAGTCCTGGGATGTTCGATGATGACAGGTAGTGATGGTTGGGCCAAAGCGAAGCACGAAGTAGTAAAGACGCGGCGGATGATTCTAACAGTTTGTATTCAAGAAATGGATGGTGCGGATGGCCGGTGCGGAGAGAGAGACACATATGGGCGCACCATCAGACACAAGTAGGTAGGCAACCAGACCGGCGAAGACGAGGCAGGCAGGCAGGCAAGGCAAGGCAGTCTGCGAAGGTACCTCCTTCGCGCCTCACCTTCCCAAGGTGCGGAGGGGCAGGTGTCACCACCACTTCCAGTTGGCAAGCGGTCGAGTGCGCTTCACCTCACTCCTGCATTGAACGGTGGGAAGGGACCGGACGGAAAACAGCCAGCACCTGGTAAGCGTGCACTTTGTCGCCATTTTGGCCAGGTGCCTGCCATGTGGTTGGGGAGGTGGGGGCGGGGTCTGTCAGGAGGGTGAAGTGAAGGCGCAAACGACGGCGCCCATTTCACCTTGAGGAACACGTCCTGCACTCGCAAAGCTGTCCAGGTTGCGTCACTCGGGAAAGCTCGCGTTGAAATGAAATGCAAATGCAAATGGTATGTCACTGGTGAATGGGCCCCCCATTTCAGCAGATCCCCATCGTTACTTACGTAGCACACCCGACCTCTTATCGATAGCCAACAGAGGGGTTTTGGAGGGGAAATCAGCGCCCAGATGCACCGCTGCAACCTGGCAGCGTGAGGGAGGTGAGCCTGCTAAGGTGGGGCTAATCCACCACCACCACCCCCGCCTGGAACCGCTGTTGGCACCAACACTAGCCGAATGGGAAGCCAAATGGCATCGTAATGGAGAGGGATCCGCCCGTCTCCCGACATCACCTCTTGGCCTCCATTTCGGTGACCTTCTCTCCTCCTGCTCACTCGCCTTGTGCAAGTAGTTCACATGCTAACGCGTTGACGTTTGAATGTCATCGGCCAGAAACCACGATACGGCATTCCGCTTCTTTGACATACTCATATCACCATGTCGTTGAGCCGCCGCAGGCTCAGAAAACCCGAGTCATCCCCTCACAGGCTGAGGCAAGGTACCAACCTAAAGTTCGGGTCATCCAATGTGCAACGCAGAGCCCATGGCACTTCGGGCCGCCTGAGGCACGGGGGAGACCACAAGACACGACGGGTCGCCGCCAATCACGACGATGCCTCGTTGTAATCGCAAGAATACACGACTAAATCGGAGGGCCCAAGGACTTGCCCCCTCCCCCCTTGCCATCCCGGATTTAGGTGTGCCAGTCAACAAATGTCTCGACTGTTTCAAACCGTGCCGTCCTTTTGTTTCTTATCGAGGCACTTATCGAGGCCAGCTGGCAGCTGGGGTGTTACGCATGTCTGAGCCCGAGGAAGAGGGTGTGTGTGTGGTTCTCTGTTCCTGAGGGACATAGAACCTATGCGCGGCTTGCAAGGTGCTCCATAATTATCCATGCCACATTGAGTTGTGGCCGTGCATCGGAAGTGGAGAAGCAGATTACCCCAACCCATGGCCTTCACTCGGTTTTACACCGAACTTCATCGAGAATCGCAGAAGACATTCTTCAAGTCTATTTAACAACAGCTGGCTCACATCACCAACATGGTACCTTCAAGGCCGACGGAACGTCTACTCAGGAACAGTCTCGACGCAGCTCGCCAAGAACAGCAAGCGCCAAATTAACCTTGTAACGTCGGTAGGCCGTTAGCTCAAGTCGAAACTCCTCCAGAGATTGCCTTTCCTCTGCCGAGCTTCCCCCAGCTCGAGCTGTTGATTCTTTCGCGTTAACGCTGGCCGTTACTCGGCACTCTTTCTCCTACTTCTGTGTGCGATCCACGAGGCGAAGGCGGCCTTGGTGTCGCTGTTTGAAAAGAGAAGATGTGAAATATCTTGCAGCGCATGCCTCGACTCCGTTCATATTCATGGCTTTGGGGACTTGAGAGAATGAAGGAACTACAAAGCAATTCGCAGTTTCGTCTCAGTTCAACACGGTCACTGACTGTAATTTCAACAATACCGCCGAGAGTCTACTGGTACATCATATACACCTCGACACTCCGTGGAGAGCCTGTCCTGAGACCGACGCGATCTGGGAAAAGACCATAGACGGCACGTCCTGTTGACGACCCGCATCTCCTATCGGGAGTACACTATCAGTCTCACTCGGACGGCGCCGCACACAAAAGCTTGAGAAGATCTCAACGGCCACCTCCAAGGACCCTGCCACCATCGTCCCTATCTATTTATGAGTCTCTTCGATCGGACGCCCCACCGTCTCAAGGACATGTTGACTCCAAACCTACCTGAGAGTGTTTTGAACATATGTCATCATGCCATCACGGCCTTGGCACGAAGTCCACGGCACTGCCAGGTTCAGGTCACGAAGCGACATGTCCAGTCGACGGATCGTCGTAGAGGCAGCTGGGTAAGGTGTCGCTCTCAAAGCGACCCCGACCAGCAAGCCATTCCTAGCAAAATCGATAGCAAGGACCATCGACTGCGGGATACGTCTCGTCTTCCCGGCGCCATCAGGCACAAGTGCAGCACATGCAGCAAACGCGGTATTTATGTTGTTGGTGCTGACAAAAGTGCTAAACCCTCAAGAAACACTCCATTCAACCAGCGACGGCAAGGGGACACCCCACCCTCCCCATTCGTCAGTGACAACGTGCAGGAAAACCCCAGGATGTCTGGAAACCGAGATCCGAGACGCAAAAGCTAAAGCAAACGGGACCTACATCAACGCGGGCCCGGTACCCCTCCCCTTGCCCCGGCCGGAACTCGCAGCCGAGATCTCCATCCCCCGGGTTCGCGCTCTAATTTAGTACCTCATGAAACCGGATAAGATGGGTGAAATGCAATCTAAGTCTTGATGCCTAGTCGCTCTCTGACCCCCCCTGCTCGGGACTCTGGACTCTGGTGATCATAGACGCCAAACCATGGATAGCTAGATCGAAATGTTAGCCCCCAACTTACCCGTTTCTCGTATCTCTCATTTGCCGGCAATCATTTCATCCAGCAAGGACCGCCAGTGTTTGGGGAAATGGCCAGGCACCTTGTCCCTGTCATTGTTGTGGTGTGAGACGTTGTAGTCCGTTCCCCCCGCTGACAATGCACCCTTGGATAACAAAAACAACATCTTGTTGTGTTCACTGGCTGCACGGTAGATTCAACGCACAAATATGGAACATAGAAACAAGTCTACATGAGGCTTGATATTCTGCAGGGCGTTGCAAAGATCGTAATCCAAACCATACAGTCTGCAAGTGCCGCATAATCTTACATTATACTCTCCTAGACCCTAGATATTCTCATGCCAAGACGTCTCCTGCGTGATAAACTGCCATACCAGACATGAATCTCTTCTCGTAATTAAAGACACCGATGTGAATAACCGTCTATCACGAACATGACTAGAACATCCCATAAAAACTCCGTTCCGCCCACCAGAGACCAAGCGTTGAAGATGGTAGCCCAAGAAGCAATGAAAAAGAAAAGAAAAGGAAAGGAAAGGAAAAAGGGGGGGGTCGTCATGTCCGCGATGCATGACGCGCTGCAAATGGGGGGTATCGTAACAGAAGAGATGGGGTTGTGTTTTTTATCTTTGTTTTTGTGCTGTTCCAGTTGCGTCCATGTCTCACAGGATGTCGTGCTTGTGGAAAAGCCGGGCCAGCGTGTCGGTGCCAAAGATCTCGTCGTCGGGGATCATTTCGATAATGCCGGTCAGGTTGGCAATCATGTCACCCTGGTTGCGGTATGCCAAGATTGCCGGCACAGCAGCGTTATCAAACTCGATATCAAGGTAATGGACCTTGACGAAGTGTACTGTCGAGTGCTGCGATACGAGCGGCATCATGGCGTGTTCTATCGTCGCAGATACATCGCACTGCAAGTATACTATCAGCACTAGTTCCTCTGCAAGCATTAACGGTGCTGGGAGCTTACCTCTGGGTCATAAACAAAGACGACAACGACAGTATCCCGCGCAACCTTCTCGATGGCGTCAAGATAGCCCAAGGCGTCCACCACATCCATACGTCCGTAGATTCGCACACTAGGACTTGTTCTCCGGTTCCTGATGACCTTGCTGGACTCGCTCTCGAGCTCTCTCCGGCGGCTCTCGCGCCACTGTTGCATGAAGCTGTCGTCCGAGTCGCTGCCGTTGCCCTCATCCGTCTCGCTCTCGCTCTTGTGTGATGCGTGAGACTGAGAGTTGAGACCGTCCAAGCCAAAGATGGAGCGCCGCACCGTCGTGCGCGCGCGGCTCATGAAGGAGGTCTTGCGGGCGTTCTCGTAGTTGCGGGCATCGGCGATGACGCCCTTCACACCAGTCGTGCGGCCTGCATCGAAGCTGGCCGGGGGTAGCTTCAGATCGGAGCCGGCGTGGCCAAGAGTGGGCATGCGCATGGCGGCGTCAATTTGGGAGTTGCGATAGATCTCGTCCTCGTCGAGATCGAGGCTTCCTTGCTGGCGGCGGTCGTAGTCACGATCCTCCGGGTGTACTCTGCTCTCGTCACGAGAGTTTGCTGCTAGCAGCGCGTTGAATTCTTCCTGGGCTGGGGTAGGGTTCGACATCGTGAGTTGCGAGTGGGCGCGGCCGTGGGAGGGAGCTTGGTTTATGTATGGGACGACGGACGGACGAGCGGGCAGTTGTGTGGTCAGCAGAGGGAGATGGTAGGGGTGTTGTCAAGGAGTAAACAAGCAGGTTGTGAAGTGCAATCGTGCGACCTTGGAGGGTGGAAGGGTGTGCCCGGTTGTTCTGGCAGGGCGTCTAGAGTAGGAGATCAAGCCAGCCAGAGCAAGGGCAGGTGAGGTCCGGGTGACGGCGGTCAGCTTCTAGGAAGGGAGAGACGGAGGTTTGGAGGTGAAGCTGGGAGGACGTGACTCTGTGTGGGAGGATGGATCGGAAGGATGGCGGCCCTTCGATGGAATTTCTCGAAGCAGTGGAGACGTGATCAGGGGTCAACCCTTGGCTCTGGACACGATGCGGTGAAAGCCGGCTCCAGCAGTGCAAGTGGGCTGAACAGGCTGGCGCGATGCATGAATGGTTCGAAGGAGGGCAAAGAGGGGCCCGGGAGTCGAGGATCGAGGGTCGAGGGCGAAGCCCCTGGGGTGCGTCAGGCTGTTTCAGAAGCAGTGGAAGTGCGTGGTCGCGAACAGGCACAGGGGACGACGACGACGACGTGGACCAGACAGGACGGGCGAGTGTGGATGAATGGCAGGGAGAAAAAGTGGTCATGGACGAGATCTGAGTCTGGTTGCGGGAAAGAGGCATGTAGTCCGGTATGTTAAGACGAGGATGTCTGGGGCTGGTTGGTTGCTTGCGGGCGCATCGAATTGGCTGCTGCGACGCGACGGCGACACCGGACAGTTTCCCATGCCAGTCTTGCTTGCTGTGCTTGTCCTGCCTTGAACTAGCCAATTGACTTGCCCACCCACCTGGATGGAATGGATCGATGGGAAGTCAACAGTATCGAGCCACGAGTGCCGAAGTGGACGTGCAGATGGCAGAACACAGGCCAGCCACGGGTTGTGTGTTGTCACGCATGAGGAAACCTGATGATGGGTGACGACGGAATGGTGGGACGGGGGAAAAGAGAAGAAGGAAAAACCGGGGCCACGATGTCTGGGGCAGGACAGGGAATGGACGGTCATGGCCGATGATTTTCTTGCAACTTCAACGGTAGACAGACTGTGGGCAAATTGTGTGTCCCAAGCTACATGGTGTTACCACCACAGTAGCGTACTGCCCTTCCCTTTTTTTTTCTCTTTCCGTAATCCCATAGTCGACGCGCCCCCGCGAACCTCCTGCGCCGTAACAGGGCTTTCTTTTCATGGTTCCAAGCAAACTCTGATGTGAGTAGCAGGTACCTACGAATGTCGGGCTGACGATACTCTCATTCAGCAGAGTCGAGTAGCAGGACAGAGAGAGGCTACCCACATACTGCCACACCACACTCTCTCGGTTTATTCTGCCCGCGTGACCGGGCCATGATCTTGGTTCTTCTCGGGTTTCGTTGCTATTGTTGTTGATGTTTTATTTTTATTTTTTATGTTGTTGATTAGTGGCCGTTCGACCCGTCTCTGCCGATAGTGCATTCCATTGCCGTCCGCTTATGCCCAATCAATGCAAGCAAATACGAGGAGGGGTAGTCCGGGGCCTTGCAGACGGGATGCACGCTGCAGGACCGATGAGTTGGCTAAGGCACTCTTCGCTCCTTTCTTCTTTTGTCTTCTTCCCCGGTGGAGATATATCATGCAGGGCGGTGACTCTCGACTACCGAGTCTTGGTCATGAGGAGCAATGTTGAAGCTAGGCCATGACACGGCGAGTTGCGAACAGAACATCATCCGCCTCTCGTGTTTGACTGTCCGTGTTGCTGTTAGCCTGCAGTCCGATCTTCGTCTACCTTGAGACCAACCAGAAAGAAGGGAGGCTTAATTGACTTTCATTTACACCTCTGCTTTGAGTTGCGACCGCCTCCGCTGGCTGTTCTCTCGTGCTTTCTACCCTAACCTAAGATCGGTTCTGCGTAAATGAATAACCCTTGCCAATTAGCTCAAACTCTTCCGCCCGTCTCCTTCTCCTTCCCCTTCCTTTACTTAAAGCAGTTTGATTTTCCATGACGCTCGTGCTTGTCTTTTTCAACCTCCTATCTCAGGTCGCCTGTCCCAGTTTGGCTAGAACGGCTCGTCGCCTTGCAGGCCAGTGCGGGAGGGCCCTGCATTGCCGAAAGGGCCTTTTTCGAGGAACCGCGGAGAGGGTCAGATCGGGACAGTCCAGCAACGACGTTCCTTGTTCCACTGTCTCTGCCTGAGTGCGGATACCATAGTCTTTCATGTACGTAGCCATAGCACTGACGAGATGCCCTCAATCCAGAAACACATCGGCTTGCTTATGCCTCACAGACTTCGAACAGCAATTCCAATCACTGCAATGACTCCCGCCACTCGGCTGCAGACCTTCCTGCTCTACTCCCTGCAGCCAATGCACAGTCGACGCCGGCTGCACGGAGCTGCTGCAAGTCGAGACATTGTCAGTTCAGGATTAAAAGAAGAGTCACGCAACACACATGACTTCGAACCCGGGTACGCCCAAGTCGTCCGTGGTCCCAAGTTTATTGTACTACTGGCATCCAACTTGTGATGCATCATCGTCAATGTACCTACGACAGGTCGCACACGAGGCTGGACCAATCGAGCACTCAACACCGAAACCGTGCTTCCGATCGTCCATGTTGCAGAAGCCGCGGCAAACGTGTATCGGTATCATTCTCCGCGGTGGCGGAACGAATCACGATCTATTCGAGCCGGCAGGACCTGCAATGACAGGGAAGATGTCTCCAGTCATGATGCCTCGCCATGATGCCTCATCACGATACCGTCATGGCATGGCACGCCAGCATCATCGATATTCCAACATCCCGTTCGTTGAGCACCAAAGCTCCAAAAACATAGGACAGTGGTCTCACCATCAGCCCCAGATATCTCTAACAGTGGCATGCGCTTGTCGCCAGATTTAGCCCCGTTTGATCGTCTGAAAGTTGTTGTCAAACATCTCGCTGGCTGAATCTTGGACGACTTAGTCTCGCGTCGTGTGACCGCCTTCGTCGCTGCTGCATCAATGCGCATGGAGGGCCGGGGCAACAGCATGTTATTGGCCCACTACACATCTGGGGTACGCACGTCCAAGAGCCGACTTCGGATCATCTTTATCGGTGTTTTGGGCTAATTTGATCACGGTTTGCAGTGCCGACGGCTTCAGCCGTGGTTCACAGCGTTCCGTCAAGGGGGGTTCTAACGGCGCTGCCGTCTAAGGACAGTTCAGTCTTATATGTTCAGATCGTCGGCATGGTCTTTGTGCCTTGCCTAGGAACGTTATCTATCGACTCGTCTAAGTGGACGTTTTCAACTGGTTACGAATTTTCCGATATCCGGTGACTCTGGCCACCGTCCATGCATGCTCGGCTCACCCTATCTTGCCACTTCGGTACTTGCTTAAAGAAAGCCTCGCAGTGTCTGTCATACATGAATCATCTTTTCCATCCCCGGCCACGCCGTTTGGTGCAATTCTACCGTCTGTGGATGAGGCCCAGATACGTGCTACGAACAACCCACGTCACCTCGGGCTTTCGATCAAAGATGACTCTTCCGGCCACCAATCAACCTCCGAGTCACGACTCGTTCGCCATAACTCTCCTCCGCACGGCAAACTTTCATAGGCACAAAAAACCCCCACAACAATCGCCAGCAGGAACATTGTTAAAACAGACACTGGTCGGGAGAATCTCCATTCTGATGTGATCGGAATTCCAGATGTGTCGATCAGACCAATGCAGATGTTCTGTAGTAACGAGGTCTGCGTTTCATGGTTTTGTTAGCTTACATGACGACAGAGAAACGACTTCACCCCTAGCGGGCAAAGGGAGTCGAAGTTGACACACTTCTCATGCTATAGGAAATCCTTGACTCGACTACTGCTTGTTGGGTTCCGTCCATTGGCAGACTTCGCCGGCTCTACTACTGCTCTCGGGGTTCGCGATCGAAGCCAAGCTATCTGCTACAGCAGTCAATCAAAGCTAATGGTCGATTCATCCAAAGGACTGGCACGTTGGCTGCACCATGTTCCACGCATTTTGTGCGTTCCTCACCCCGTTCGTTCTGGAGCAAGTTTAGACGTCGCATCTCAGTACGATATCGGCACTATTCCTCGTGGCTGCCGGGATCTCAGCGTTAACGACCGCAGCAAGCTTTCCAACTATACTTCAGACTCGCGGCGCCAGCCACACCAAATCCCTTCCTTCGCTTCGTCACAAGCTCTTCATACGCCTTGTGCAGTAGCTCTGAGCCACATGTCAAAGCTCAGCTAAATAATCTGCAACACCAGGGCTAAGTCCTTCGACCCATCGTCATTCCCACTCCCGCAACTCTTCTCAGCTGTTTTGAACGCTTCAGCAAGTGTTGTCTGTGCTGGGCCAGATGAATCCCCTTCCGAAACCCCATCACAGACTGAGATATTGCCTCGAGACGACGCCACCAACCACACAGGCAGGCAACGACCGCAAGCTGTGGCGGCCAGGTCGTCTACGGACCAGAGCGAACCTGACGTTCCCACGGCCATCTTTCCACACAAACTCGGGAAACCCCGCCTTCGGAACAAGACTATCGCATATTCCTTCCAGGGGGCCGGGACAGGCAATTGCGGTCACGGCGATTGAGACCCCGACACGAAAGGCAATGCCGAAGGTGAAAGTCCAGAGCGGCCTATCCTTTAACGTGGCACTTGAGAAGAGGACACGGAACAGATGAACCTCAGCTCATGGCCCGTCCGCCTCCCCATCTTCACAACCAGAAACCCCGCGGACAGCAAACTTTTCTTCTCGCTCGCTGCTGTCATCCTGTACATTGCCTTCCTGGACTGCTCTGTCAGAGGCCTCCCCTTTGCCCACCGTCGGCTCGCGTCGATACAGCGCTCCTACGGGATTCTGACCACAACAGCGCCGGCGACGCCGTCAAGGCAGACCCAACAGCGCGGGTCGATCGATACAACTCCCCCCCCCTTCCCGGGAATTGTTTCCCGGAGTCGTTCTCTAGGAAGAAGAAGAAAGAGCAAATGTGCGGCGAAAGCGTCACAAAAACGTAGCAACCCACAAACCGCCTCGTTTTTCTCTTCCCAGCCCCATTCCCGAACTCTGGCTGCTCCTCGTTCCCGTTTTCCCCCCATATCGAACTGTAGTACCGATTTGCCTGCTCATACGTAGAGAACTCGGCTTTCTCGCAAATAACACCACCCAGCCGGTCCGAGTGCTCAGCCGTTCGACATTGGACGTCAGTATGACCACCCGAAAGTCCGGTGCCGAAGTCGTTTGTGGCGTAGGCTGCGGCTCCGAGGCCGTTACTCCCACGGTTCTCTACTGACTTTCTTCTACTCGTACGCATCTTGTGTGTTTTTCTGGCTGTTTTCCTTG